TGCGGACGAAACGTTGACTATAATACCCGAGTCACGTTCATACATTTGTGGCAATACAGCGGCCATGAGCTGCAGAATAGCAAAAATCATTTTTCGTTGGGACGAGCATTTTGCACTAAATGCTTGGACAACTTATCGTTTAAATAAAATTTTATCCTCTTTCTGACTTTGGATCCAAGCCATACATACTCCTCTAGTAATGGTAATAATATTAAAATTTGTTGCTATCCAAAAATGAGAAAGGGGAAAGACACGTCTGAACTTAGAGAGGGAACCTCAGAGTCGTTAGTGATAAGAAAAGGGGAAATTATGTGGAAGCAGTATTTAGTCAAAACATCGGAAAAAACAGTTGCGCTAAGGAAGGGCTCCGTAAATTTAATGAATAAGCGAGGGCAAAAAATAAATTGGAACCCTATTTCAGTAAGAAAGGACTGTTCGAATTATGACACACCGGCTAATTTTCTCGAACAATGGCACCTCAGCTAATTTTAAGTTACCACCCGTCTGTTGAAACTGAGTTCATTATTGACAAGTATCACTTAGTTTTTGGAAGAACGAAATAGTACTGACGCAAGCATAATTGCGACTAGTGGCAAACATATGAAACCTACCAGAGTAACAGGAATGATATTGATAATGCTGATATGTCTGAATAAAGCAATACCGCCATCAACCTTGTGGTACAGATCCGGATATTCAAAGGCACATCCAACATTATTTACTGCATAATTCTTTTAGTGAAGATGCGTAAGCCAGGATAACAACAACTTTTATTGGATGCTAGTGACTCAGGGTAGAAGAGTCTCTTTGAAGATGATTACATATTATTTATTATTTTATTGTGGAACCTTAATGACTCCAATGTTCTTAATTGACAGTTAAGAAATTATCAAGTCACTATTACAGTACTGGTCCGCATGAACTGAGATAGGTTACCGGAATTTCTTTCAAGGCGAAACAGTTTCAAATTAAACTAGCTGAATGCAAACTGTTACATTTAGTTGAGCAAGAAGTACTTCGAGCTCCGGTTAGAACGAATTTTTTAATCGCGCATTGAGCAAACAGGAAAAAAACGAGGTTTATACAGTGGTAACTGCAATTTAGTACAAAAAGGGAATACCTAAAACGCCA